AAAATCTGCAAGAAAAATTATCTGTGAAATTTTTTTACCATTTAATAAACATTATTTGTAAATTTATTTTTACAAGAAAATCCACAAAAAACAAGGTAAAATTCTTATAACATTTTATGCAAATTTTTACCAAGGAAAAAATTTTCTATGATCATTAAAATTTTAGTAAAATTTGAAAAAAAAAATTGTAGATTATTTTTAATAAAATATTTATAAGAAATTTCTGTAAATTATTTTTTGCAAATAAATTTGTAAAATATTTTTGTAAAATTATTATTGCAGGAAAATTCGCAAAAAAAATTTGTGAATATTTTTTTTTGTGAAAATTCACAGGAAAATGATATTTTTTTAATAATATAAAATATTTCATTGATAAATTAAAAAAATATAATATGATCATTATTAGTTTAAATAAAGAGAAATACTAATTGGTAGGCATCGAGTTCAAGTCATTCTTACGTTACTTTGTTAAATATGTGAAGAGATAATTTTATCTTCTATATATAGTGTTTGTTTCAGTTGTATCATAGGCATCGAGTTCAAGTCATTCTTACGTTACTTTGTTAAATATGTGAAGAGATAATTTTATCTTCCATATATAGTGCTTCAACTAAGATTGTCTATAGTGAATGAGATCAACGGTATATAGAAAAATGTTTCAATAACATACTCTTTAAACATATTTTCTACTATTAATCGAAATTTATTAAAATTTCAAAAGTTAATTTTATAAGTTTCGCATATATATATATATATATATATATATTTTATAATTATGTTATTCATAAGAAATATTTTTTGTCTAATTTTCATCATAAAATATAGTTAGTCACCTTTTAAGCAACTGAATTTAATAACATTTAAACTAACACGTGATATTTGCAGTGTCGAGATTTTCATGATTTTGAAAATTTCAACAAAATTTAAATTAATAGATTTCTTGTATGAGATAATTAGGTATGCAGTGAAGCAACATCAACTGGACAGGAATCCCTCACAGCAGCCTTGTATTTGAATGAAGTCCTGATAGGATTTTGGCAAGCTCTGTGCACAACCAATGGCAAACAGCAAAGAATCTCCATTCTCCGATGACTCCCCCAAAGGTAAAACTTGTTCTTAGATTTTTCAGAATTATAAGCACACTGAGCTAACCTAGCCAACAGGTATATATATGAAGTCCCTTACTATTAGATTTGTTTTTCAATCCGATCACTTACAAGTTTTGGATTTGTTATCGCTTCCTTTAGTTGCTTCATTCATAGTTATTACTTTCTCATTAACATTAAATACTTTCCAAATTTAAACTAATAGGAAAGCATGTCTTATAAGGAAGAAAATTATTAGCTAGGTAATACAAAGCCAATAATTTGTGTTTATGGTATCAATATCAATATATACATGACATGCGTTCAAGTTTTATAATTTTTTTTGGTCTGTGTTTCTCTCTATCTCAACATTTATTTTATATATATATTTTTTAATTTATGTTCTCTTTCTATTTTTTAATTATACAAATTATTGTATAATTTTGGTGAAAAAGTATTTCTCTCATACTAACTCACTCAAACAAAAATACATTGCTTAATAACTCTTTCATTCTCTCTTTCTAACAATTCCAAATTTCAGATAACATAATTTTTACAGTGCATAAGTGTCAACCTGAGTTGGTGGCTCCTGCTATACCTACACCTCATGAACTTAAACTACTGTCTGACATAGATGATCAGGACTTCCTACGTTTCCCACCTTCACTCATCCAAATTTATCGTAATGAATCACCAACAGTTGAGAAAGATGCGGTTGAAATCATTCGAGAGGCACTCACTAAAACACTTGTTTTCTATTATCCATTTGCGGGTAGGCTTAGGGAGGTGTATGGTCGTAAATTGATGGTGGATTGTACTGGGGAAGGGGTCATATTCATTGAGGCCGATGCTGATGCAACACTTGATCAATTTAGTGGCTCTCTTCAACTTGCTCCATTCCAATACTCACAACAATTCCTGTATGATTCATGCTCGCAAGAAATTACTAATTGTCCTCTTCTAGTTATTCAGGTACATGTATGGTCGACTATTCACTTATCCACTTCTTTGTTACCTAATATTTGGTAAAAAAGGAAGAAAAAAAAAATGAAAGAAAACAAAGTGAGAAAATAAGTTATAAAATAAAGTAAAAATAATATTTAGTAAAAAAATAAAAAAGTAAATAGAATAGAATTTAACTTTTTAAGAAATAATTTTATTTAAAAAGTGGTAAATTAAAATATATTATATTATCATTATTGTATTCCAAAAAATTTCATTATGGAAAACATCACGAAGATTAATAATAATAAAAAACAGAGATCCTATCTATGTATATTAATATTTCGCACACTTCTATTAGAGGTAAATTTTTTCATCCAAGCAAACTTCTTTTTATTCCCATATGGTACACAACATTGAAAGCTTAAAGCATGTTTTTCTTCACACTGGATATTAAATGATATACAGGTCACACGACTCAAGTGCAATGGCTTAATCTTAGGCATTCGGTGGAACCACAACATGAGCGATGCAACAGGTTTGTCACAGTTCATGAACGCGTGGGCCGAAATGGCTCGAGGTGCACGCAAGCCTTCGATTGCACCAGTGTGGCGCAGGGACCTTCTAATGGCAAGAGACCCACCACGCATTACATGCCACCATCGTGAATTCGAGCAAGTCCTAGGAACCAACGAAAGGACCATTTCATACGACAACATGCTTCATCGACCATTCTTCTTTGGACCCACCGAGGTAGCCGCCATTCGTCGCTTGGTTCCCCACCACCTTCGGAATTGCACCACTTTCGACGTGATCACGGCATGCTTATGGCGCTGTCGCACAAAAGCATTGCGAATAGATGCAGACGAGGATGTTAGCATGATGTGCATCGTCAACGCGCGTGCGAGGTTCAATCCTCGGATACCCGTTGGTTACTACGGCAACGTTTTTGCATACCCCGCAGCAGTCACCACCGCAAGGAAGCTTTGCGAAAATCCTTTTGGGCACGCCGTGGAGATGATAAAGAGAGTGAAAAAAGAGGTGACGGAGGAGTACATGCATTCCGTGGCAGATCTAATGGTGCTTAAAGGACGACGCATGTTCACAAGAACTATGAGGTCTTGTATCGTGTCGGATTTGACGAGTATTGGGCTTAGAGATGTGGATTTTGGATGGGGCAAGGCGGTGTCTAGTGGAATGGCTAAAGGTGGAACTGGTGACTTTCCTGGGACAACCCCTTTCTATGCGCATAAGAATGCCAAAGGAGAAGAAGGGGTAGTGGTACCACTTTGGTTGCCTGCTGAGGCTATGAGTAGGTTTGTGAAAGAGTTGGATGACATGGTTGGGAACCAAAACCAACCCCCAACAAGTGGTTCTTCTTTTATCAGGTCTACCTTCTAGAGTTGAACTTGAAGCTTATACCAAGCTAGGTCATAATAATTTGGAAGGTGCTCAAGAAAATTTTACTTTACTATGAAAATATAATATTCAATAAATGTATCCGTAGAAGGATTTGTTTGGGTAAACTCTGTAAAATAATTTTAAGAGAAAAAAACAAGAAGAAAAATGAAAATGAGTTTCTTCATGTATAAATTAAAATTAATTTATGTATAGTTAAAAATAAAATTTTAGAAAAGTTAATAACAAAAGGAAGTTTCTATAAATTAGTATATATATATAAGTTAATTTTAAATTTTTTTAAAAAAGGAGTTATTATGTACGCTATATTTGTAAATTAGGATATTTTGATATAACCAATATTTTAAATCAATAAAAATGACTTAAAGTGTATATCTTCTTTTTCTTTTCACTTTCACTTTTTCTTCTCTATACTAACTTACTAAGTGATGCGTTATTGGTAAAGATAATAATTTAAGTTATTAACTTACTATTTTTTTTACCAAATATTATTTCAAGTGTTTTAAATCATTTTGTTCCAATCAAAATAACTTTGAGAAAAACATAATAAAATTCTATTTGTTGAAATAGAGGAAGATTTTGTAAATTTTTATTCAACTTATTTTCAAAATTCACACAAGTATGAAAAATCTCAATTTATCATGATTCATAATATATAAAAAAAATATCTTTAATAAATTCAAATGTTTCATATATATATATATATATATATATATATATAAGGAGGGTTCAAATGACACCGGTGTAACTTTTACTAAGTG